CTCAGCCAAGCTGAACAAAGATAAAGGATAGTCATTTTTCCCTCCTCAAAAAACAAGAAAAATCTCAAACAACCTAACCCACTACCTCAAAGAATTAGAAAAAGAAGAATAAACAAAACCAAAGTCAGCAGGAGGAAGGAAATAATAAAGATCAGAGATGAAATAAATAAAATAGAGATAAAGAACAATAGAAAAAAGTAAATAAAAGCAAGAACTGATTCTTTGAAAGAGTAAACAAAACTAACCTCTGGCCAGGCTCACCACAAAGAACAGAGAGGACCCAAATTAAAAAAGTGAGAAATGAAAGAGAAGAGAGCACAACTGATACCAGAGAAATACAAAAAAACCATAAGAGAATACTAGGAACAATTATAAGCCAACAAGTTGAACAACCTAGAAGAAATGGACAAGTTTCTAGAAACATATAGCCCACCAAAACTGAATCAAGAATAAATAGATAATTTGAACAGACCTATCACTAGAAGTGAAATACAATCTGTAATTTTAAAAAAGAGTCCCTGCAAACCAAAGTCTAGGACTGGATGGCTTCACTAGGGGAATTCTACAAAGCATACAAAGAATTTATACCAATCTTTCTCAAACTCTTTCAAGAGACTGAAGAGGAGGGAACACTCCCAAAGTCATTTCCATGAAGCCACCATCACCCTGATACCAAAAACACTACCAGAAAAAGATTACAGGTCAATATCTTCAATGACTATGGATGCAAAAATTCTCAACAAAATATTTGCAAACTGAATCCAACAACACATTAAAAGATTATACACCACAATCAAGTTGGATTCATCCTAGGATTCATTATAAGGATGGCTCAACACAAACAGATCAGTCAATGTAATACATCACTACAACAGAAAAAAACACAAAAATCACATGCTCATTACAAAAGATGCAGAAAAAGCTTTTGGTAAAATTCAACATCCATTCATGATAAAAAAAAATCTCACCAAAGTGGGTATAGAGGGAATGTATCTCAATATAATAAAAACTATTTATGACAAACCTACAGCCAACATATTACTCAAGAGTGAAAAGCTGAAAAGTCTCCCTGCTAAAATCTGGAACAAAACAAGGATTCAGAAAGGTTACAGGATACAATATTAACATACAGAAATCTGCTGCATTTCTTTACACTAACGATGAAATATCAGAAGGGGGGGGGAATCCTTTTTGGAACTGCATTAAAAAAAACAACTTAGGAATAAACCTGTCCAAGGAAGTGAAAGACTTATGTGCTGAGAACTACAGAACTTTGATTAAGGAAATTAAAGATGATTTAAAGAAATGAAAGCTATCCCATGCTCTTGGACTGAAAGAATTACTATTGTTAAAATGACCATACTACCCAAAGCAATCTACATATTTAATGTGATCCCTATCAAATTATCCAGGACATTTTTCACAGAACTAGAAAAAATCCTGCAATTTATATGGAATCATTAAAGACCCGGAATTGTCAAAGCAATTCTGAAGAAAAAGAACAAAGCTGGGGGCATACCCCTCCTAGACTTCAGACTCTACTATAAAGCTACAGTAATCAAAACAGCATGGTATCAGCACAAAAACAAACATATGGAACAATGAAATAGAACAGAGAATCCAGAAATAAACCCACAGACTTAGGGTCAATTAATCTTTGACAAAGGAGGGAAGAATATACAATGGAGAAAAGACAGTCTCTTCAGCAAGTAGCGTTGGAAAAACTGGATAGCAGAATGTAAATCAAGGAAGTTAGCACACTCTCTTACACCATACACAAAAATAAACTCAAAATGGCTTGAATACTTAAACATAAGACAGGGCACCATAAATTTCCTAGAAGAGAGCACAGGCAAATAAAAAAATCAGTGATGTTTTCTTAGGTTGGTCTCCCAAGGCAAAAGAAATAAAAGCAAAAACAAACGGGGTCTAATCAAACTTATAAGCTTTTGCACAGGAAAGGAAACCATAAACAAAATGAACATACAACCTACAGAATGGGAGA